CTGAATTTAAGTGCACCTATAATGCACAATTACAGCACCCTATTCAAGTAACCATTTCTCTGACAGCTTCTCTTACAGCTAGAAAAGCACAGAAACAATCTGGGTCACAAAATCACATTCACATGTTGAGACTAAACTGTCTCCAGAGAAAGGGTTTTACAGTAAGTAAAACAAATCCCTCTTGTAAATACAGCCTTTAACCTTTGTTAAACTTACTACATTTTAATTAAAGTCATAGGACTTTGTTTAGATAAATTGAAAACCTCAGGTTGGCAGCCAGAATACCTTATTTATAACAACTCACAGATCTTGGAGTCCCATATTTGAATTCTGTTGCTTTAATTTATTTTTCCAATTAAAAACATCTCCCTGTTCATGCATTTTTTATTCCCTAATGTGCTGTTCTATCAGGAGAAACATAAAAGAAACAGACAACACAGTTTTTCAATTGGAGACTACTTTCTAGCCTGCTCCAGTTTTATAATCTCTTCTCCTATGCTCATACCAAGACCCTCCATCAAACAACTGAAAGTATCCATCAGAACCACAGCCTGGATTCCCTGATAAGGGCACTCCAGCACGTATTTTCACTGGAAAGCATTCCTGGTCATAGCAAAATGCCTTTCTCCGTTTTGCACCTGCAGAGTTCAGGTAAAGGAATACTGACACTGTCTGAAGAGGAGCTCTGTAGCAATATGGCTGATGAGAATTAAAACAATAAAAATTGATGAGAAGTTCCCCATGATCTGGCAGCATACTCTTTAGCCCAAAACCCCATGTGCTAGGCCGCTTCCCCAGAGCATGAGCAGCAGGTCAAGGGAGGGGATTCCGCCCCTCTGCTGCAATCTGGGACAGTCCTGCATCCAGCTCTGGGGCAACAACACAAGAGCAACATGGAGCTGTTGGAGTGAGTCCAGAGGAGGCCATGGAGATGCTGTGAGGGCTGGAGCAGCTCTGCTCTGGAGACAGGCTGAGAGAGCTGGGCTGGTTCAGCCTGGGCTCTGGGGAGAACTTAGAGGAGCTCCCAGTGCCTACAGCAGCTACAAGAAACCTGGAGAGGGGCTTTGGGCAAGGACTGGAACAAGGGGGAATGGCTTTAACCTGACAGAGGGGAGACTGAGATGAGCTCTTAGGCAGAAGTTCTTCCCTGTGAGGGTGCTGAGGCGCTGGCACAGGTTGCCCAGAGAAGCTGTGGCTGCCCCATCCCTGACAGTGTTCAAGGCCAGGTTGGAGCAACCTCATCTAGTGGAAGGTGTCCCTACCCACGGCAGGCCTTGGAACTGGATGAGCTTTAAGGTCCCTTCCAACCCAAACCAGTCTGGGATTCTGTGACAGACTTCTGGGGCTGCCAGTCTCCTGACAAGGCAGATAAAAACAGCAGGATCGTTTACATCTGCTCCCCTCAGAGCCCAAATCTGGGAAGGCACATGGCAGACTTTATTTCATTATATTAACCCTTTAATGCCATAGGTTAGGGACCCTCTGGACAATGACATGGTTGCTCCAGCTAAACTGAGCACTCTCCAGAAAGCCCCAACAACCTCCTTTTCTTTAGAGCAGGGAAGCACAGTTCTTACAAACAGTAACTTGAAACAAGGTTTGTTCATCACTAGTGGACTCAGTATTGGAGATACAAAGAATTAAGAGCATTGTATTTAATTTCCATGTCACTTTCAGCTCAGGCTTTACTTGTACATCGATAATCAATGCAGTCTTTTCCTTTCTCATTTCAGTTGTCCAGGATGCACTGTGGCCTGAGGTTACTGCCCAGGCCCAGCACAAAGGCTCTCTGAGTCAGGGAGAGGAGTCCAGTGACACTCAGCAGGTTTTTAGTCTGGACTCTCAGTTATCTTCCTGTGTCAGCAGCTCCAGGCTCTAGCATCAAACTCAGCTACAGTTCCCACTCCTTGTTCTTAAAGGAGCACCAAAAGGAGCAAGTAAGATGCAGCAGGAGCTGATTTCAAAAGGCCACGTACTTGAGCAAATACAGCTCCTGTGGTACGTCTGCTCCTCCACTGTATTACAGCTCATTAGAATAGAGGCAATTACACTGCTCTTAAATCCTGACGTCTGCTCCTCCACTGTATTACAGCTCATTAGAATAGAGGCAATTACACTGCTTTAAAAATGACTCTTAGAAGCACTAAATGCTTTTTACTAGTTCTCAAGTACTTTTCCCGAACCTATCCATGTCTGAAAAACAAAGTCAACTTTGAACTGAATCCAACAGACAATCAAGTGCCAAATGTCAGAGCAATTTTACCAATCAGAGTAATATGGCTGATAAGGCTGGAAAAATAAAAGTAGGTTTGACTATCTGTTTACAAATTCAAAGGTTCCTCTTCAATGCTTTCTGACCTACTGCAGGTTTCAGAGGCCAGAGACCAGCTTTGGGTATCAGCATCAAAGTTAGGCTGCAGCTGGATATTTTCCCCAGTGCAAACACCTTCCATAACTCTCAGATATATGTTAACTTTAATAACACTGTATTCACAAACAACTCACAATAGCCTTCCAAATCCATAACCTATTACCATAGTCCTAAACAAAAAGGAGCAATGCATTTATACAAATTCCTGCATTTCTCTAAGGAAACAATGTTAAAGCCCCCTTAAAGAAAACCAGGAAGAATCCAAGGGATTCATTTTGCTGATTTCTTTTTCTCTCTTTTTGCTTTGTTTTCATTTTTACGGGGAAAGAACAGTAAGTAAAAAGAACAAAACTTCTTTAACTCAGTAGTTACATTTCAAGATAAATTCTTGTTCTGACGACACTCAATCTCTACAGGAGATGGAACAGGTCTACCTACTAACTGCAGTCCTATTCCCCCTGCAACTTACTTGTTCCATTAAGTCTCCCCAACTGTCATTTCCCATGAGGCACCTGAACTCTGCTGGGAACCACTGATATTACACCAGCTCGAAACAGTGACATTTATAGGTAAACTCTACAGGCCTCAACACCTCGTTCTGTGCACACAATCAGCTGCACCTTTCCTCACGCTATCATGAAGAAGGCTCAGAATTTTCAGAGATGCCCAGAAGTACCCCTTACTGGCTTGCTCTTCTAGTTTCACATCTTTGACATTTACTGTAGTATGACTGGGAAATGCTTGTCCAGAGATGAACAAGATGTTGACTCCTCTTCCAAGTGCAAAGATATAATGAAGGAATCTATAATACCAACATCCACAAAATTCTCTGATTAACTGAATAGAAATGATGCAGTCAACTGAGAAACTTAAAGACCTCCTTTCCTTTTTTTTCCCTCACTAAAACTTCTACTATGATCTGCCTTCAAGTCATGCTTTCAGAATCATCCCCATTACTTTTCACAGGAGTTGTCATAAAATATCCCAAATTCACAGCCAAACAGAGGCATTTATGTGCGGATTTATATGTTGGGAGCAGACTGAAGAAACACACTTAGATGGATCAGTCCTGTTTAAGTCCACCTGACAGAGATATCTATACACATTTATCACCTCCTATGACAGCACAGCTCATTCCATAACTGCATTTATCTATTGCTGCCTGTTGCTGTAAAGAAAATGAGGTCCCAACCATGACTCTATGCAGTTCTCCTGTCCCTGCATAGACTTCTGCACCAGTCAGATGTCTTGTGTTGTCTTCCTTCCACACTCTGTGCAGCCAGCAAAACAATCTGCTAAATAGGGGTGTCCTAAACACATTATGAAGAACCTGCACCAAACCCCAGTCAATAAGCAAATAAAAAAGGATAAGGTTGCAAGCCAAGAAACAATGTAACAGGTACACAAATAACGGTAAGAGAAATAAATCAGAGAGCTGAAATGACGATGACCTTGACAAATTGTAGATTTTGTGCCTCAATGAAATTAAGATTGCTCCAAGCATTTAATTGCTTGTAGGGCCCAAGTCAAAGGATTCAATAAGAACCTTCCTTCACATTACGTTGTTACTGTCAGTAGTTAATGCAGTTGCAAAAAAATGGTTGTAACCTTCTCCTCAAAACAGTAGCTCAGAATTACTTTAGTCCAAATTTTAACTCCTTCAAATGTTCCAGTAACTTTATTCTCCTGTAATACTCTTACACCTTTACTCTGCCTGCAAGAAAATGAAGACCTGAGAAAAAGTAACTGCTACCAGCACCCTACCCATTAAGTGCCACAATTTCAAAAGGCATCTGCTAATCCTCTCACTCAACACAAAGGGTATTTTTATACTAATTATGGTTTAAGACAACACCAAAGCAATGGCTTATCCTACTCATTCCTAACGATCGTTTTGAAGGTCCCAATTTCAGGTTGACTTCCCTCATCAACTACTAAATCAGCAAAAGCCCAAATCTTCAGTAAGTTGTGAGATCAAGTCCCAAGGCAAGAGAGATCCTAGGGAAGACAGATTCTGGGTTTTCTGCTTTTTATTAAAATCATGACAATATGCACCTTGCAGGCTTCTCAACTTTTAAAAGGAAAAAAAGTGCAAAGACAGCATAACACCCTTCAGAAAAGAAAAAGCACCATCCCTAGACATGCAGAAAGAAGCTTTCACATTTTCTCAGAAGCCTCCAAGTGGGGCAGCAAGTAGAAAACCAACAGGGTGAACTGGTTGATTATGCAAAATAGAATTAAAATGCCTTTGACACATCTACGTATTCTTCAAGTTTGCAGGTACACCAAGCGAAGCAGTTCACAACAGACCAGGCTACACAGCAATCTATAACACTTCAATGCAATCACAGTTAAACATAACATCAGCTGGTGCCTAAACCACAGAGACGCATTTAATACTCCCCAGTTAGCAATCAGCCTTTTCCACATGTGTTCATAATCACAATGAATTGTTTCATATGAATGCTTTGCTTTCCTTTTCCTTTCTCATGGCAGTTCACTGTGCTTTTTAAGTTGGATATTTAAAAAAAAAAATACTAGTAACCGCTCTCCTTTTCCAATTTTATTTCGATGTGTAAGTAAGGAACATTTTTCAAAGAAATATAAATTACTGAACACATTTTCTTACCTGTTGCAGTCCACGTGGAGCAAAAGGTGGGATGCACTCAGCGACACAGCAATCTTATGCCACTGTCCATCTGCCAGACGGTATGGGAACACCTCTGTTCTGGACTTCCCATTAAACCTGTAGTGATATCTAATCTCATCCCGCAGGCCACTGCTCTCCAGTTCAAAATAGCTGTATTGAAAACAAAACCAAGAGTCATCTCTGGTTTTGGTTCATTCTTTGCTTCTCTCACTTTCTTCTTAATTCACAGACTTTTCTAAGCAAATACTACATGGAAGGTCAAAATCTAAAGAGGTTACTCAGCATGGAGTAGCTAGCTCATTTTTTAAGAGCTAGAGAGACAAGACTACACATTCTAGTCTATGATTCGGTGCATTAGAAAACCAGCAATACCATTTATGCAAAGCCAGCTTCAAAACACCATTTGGTAGTCCTGGAAATTGAGGTCCTCTTTTTACCCACAGTACAGGTTCATACTACAAAAAAGTAACTCCACCACCAGAATGTTTTGTATAAATGCAGGATTTATAAGAAATTCAAAACTAAAGAACTGTGCATTACCAAGGAACAAATAAAAAGTCATTAAGGTAAGAAACCACCAAGTCATCATTACATTTGTACTTGCTATTTGCAAATCCACTTCTTTAAAAACTGCTTACTTTTAGCAGTCCCATGAATGCAATTGCACTTTGAATAATTTTCTGAGTTTTATTGTTACAGCTGTAATTATTCAGCTTTGCAAGGGAACAAAGGCTCCTGGCTGGATTAGGTGTCTCAACAATCAAATCATCAAACCCTTCAGGCAGTTGTCACAGTCATAGGAGAGCTCCAACTACTGCTAGTAACTGGATCCATGCCAGTAAGGAAAGCCACTTCTTCTAGGGTGAATTGAGCCCTTCCAGGTGGTAGCACATTGACAGTGTACACAGTGAAGCCTTCTCTTGGGCTTCAGATCACACACGGCATTTACAGCATATCAAATCAAGGCTGTCTTTTCCCTGCTCATATGAAGCCCTGGATATAGGAGGAAGGAAATGCAGACCTTTTGAGCAGAAATAATTCTACAACTACATGCAGATGTTAAGTTGCCCAGCTAGTCCCTACCCTCATCCAGCTCCATAATGCCTCTGCAGCATCTTGTTTTTCCCCACTGGGCAATACCAATTTAAGATGGTACTTGAAATATTAAAAGATGGGTGCTAGTTTAGCCAGGGGGGGAAAGGAGATGAATGACAGTAATGCAATCCACTTTCAAAAAAATAAATACAAAAATACTAAGCGTGCAGGTGCCCACTTTCATTTTAGCACAAGCCTTTTCTGCTGCTTGGCTGTACACAGACTTCAAAAGCCAGTGTGCACAAGCATTATCAGAGGGTACTTCATCAAGAACAGCTCTTACCATTGAAGTGGAGGCTTTTTAGAATGTAATTGAAATACAGAGCTTTTTAGGAGGAACTCACAAGAAAAAACACCAGCTGGGAAGACCTGCAGAAGATCACAACAGACTGGGAAGGGGAACACCAAGACAACAAATCTTGAGCAAAAGAGGAACTCAAGCCTCCTCCAGCCAGTACCCTGCCGTTGCATTTTTCATGGAAGGTCTAAGCATTATCAGGTCATCCGAATCAAAGACTCAAGTGCCAAAGTAAAAAACACAGACAGGAAAAGGCAAAACCAAAACTGAATGAAAACACAGCATGCATAGGTGTAAATAAATAAGGTTTTCCACTCCAGCTGAGTGGGAAGCCTAAGAAAGGCTGGTGCTGCAAAGGAACTGGCCTGTGTCATGCACATAAAGGCATAGGGAGGGCAGAGAAATAGGAGCTTTCTAAACAGTAAAGCAGAATATTGATTACTTACCGCCACCACCACCCCCCATTAAAGTAACTATATTACATTCATAAGAAAACTGGAAAGGATTTTTTTTTTTTATTTAATTTGAAGCTCAGTGGCAGCAGAGTCAATATCAAGAAGATGATCCTGTTGGTATTTCCAAGCCAGCATAGGACTAGGACAAGTACTGTCAGTCATGTCATATTTACAAAGTTCAATGTTTCGTAATTGCCATCAAAGCACAAAAGGAAGTCATTCAAGAGGGTTTCATTAAAGAGGCTTTCTTGTTCAGATAAGCAGCAGTGAGGCAGAAATCTTAAGGAAAAGAAAATGAGGGAGAGATACGTAAGATTCTACTACCTTTCCCTCCTACAAGGTATGTGTATAAATATATTACATGGTTGATTTTAGAAGTTTAAAAGCCTGAGATCAAGACAAGCTCCTGCTGCAGGAAGCACATGGCTTCCTGCAGGCCTTCTCCATAATCTCTACTAGCTGACGGGATCCAGTAATCACCTACACACACTGGCTGGTTTGTTAATCAAATGGCAAGAGTACAGAACTGAAAGGTCAGTCAGATCCTGCACTTTATCACAGCTGTGCTCTATTATTTGAGCAGCACAGGGAATTGCAAAGCAACAGTTTCTTGTCTGATGAGCTTCAGTGTCAACAGTTACTTCAGGGCTAAAAACAGCTTGCTGCTTAGGCACCAAGTTTGTTGGCATTCTCCTGACTAATTTATATAATAGACAATTAGCACTTACTGTAATAACCAGTGTTAACATTTTTATGAACGTACACCTAATGAACTGTGAAGTGCTGCCAGACTGCATAAACCACCATGTTGCCTCCCCTGTGACAGGGAAGGAGGCTGATAGCACACGATTTCTGCACCTCTTTTCCACCACCCTTCAACAAGTGCAAATCAGAAGCAGTTACACTCAGATAAACATCAGTAAGCAGCAGTGAAGAAAATCCCAACAACAGAAAACAGGAGATAGAGCTACATAACATTGGATGAATTAGCCCAAGGTACCTCTATCTCTAGGCAATGCAAAGCAACACTCCTGCTTAATTTTTAGGTCCTTTAAGATGCACAAATTCACATTGAAATCTTTACTACACCATGTTCACAGTTCAAAAGATGCAGTTGTCTTTTCTTTACCCTAATACAAGTCATGCACAAATAGCTTGTTCAGTAGCAAACACTGCCTTTCCTTTACTCCTCTCACCAGACACTGTAAGAAAGCCTCTTCAACAGCAATGACATAAAGGCCTTCCACTCCTGGAAATAAATACCCCTGCTCTGTGCTTGAGTTCTAATCTGCAAATGTGGACTAGGAAAAAAAGGAGAGGAAAAACAAAAGCTTAGGCAAGAAATGATCAACCTGTGAGAAAATAATTAGTAAAGCCAGAGAAAATAAATGGAATTTCTTGTTTTGTTTTTGTTTGTTTACCGCCCAGACCCCCCGCCACGTGCCGCACTGCATCCCCAGAGCATGAGCAGCAGGTCAAGGGAAGGGATTCTGCCCCTCTACTGCACTCTGGAGAGACCCCCCTGCAGTCCTGCATCCAACTCTGAGACAACAACATAAGAGGGACGTGGAGCTGTTGGAGAAAGTCCGTAAGAGGCCATGGAGATGCTGCAAGAGCTGGACCAGCTCTGCTCTGGAGACAGGCTGAGAGAGCTGGGCTGGTTCAGCCTGGAGAAGAGAAGGCTTCTTAACGGGAGACCTTAGAGGAGCTCCCAGTGCCTAAAGGGGCTACAAGAAACTTGGAGAGGGGCTTTTCATGAGGGCCTGTAGGGACAGGGCAAGGGGGAACGGATTTAACCTGACAGAGGGGAGACTGAGATGAGCTCTTAGGCAGAAGTTCTTCCCTGTGAGGGTGCTGAGGCGCTGGCGCAGGTTGCCCAGAGAAGCTGTGGCTGCCCCATCCCTGGCAGTGTTCAAGGCCAGGTTAGATGGGGCTTTGAGCAACCTGGTCTAGTGGAAGGTGTCCCTGCCTGTGGCAGGGGGCTGGAACTGGATGAGCTTTAAGGTCCCTTCCAATCCAAACCATTCCATGACTCTTTAATATCTATCTCATCCTTAACTTTAAATGCCATTGCACAAGTTTTTGTCGACTGTAAACAAACAGGTAAACACCAGAGGGATATTAACAAACAAGCACACAAGAGTCAAGAAACTAGACTAATCTCTAAGAGGTAGGTACTTCCCAGTGTTTTATGAGGAACAAGAAAACACTGGAACAGAATCAGTCTGGGTTCCTGAAAGGACTGAAGCATCCGGGACTTTCTGAATAAAGGTATCATCAGTAAGCAAACGTGAATTTTCAGTGTTGCCATGAGATCCATATTAAAGCCCAAGTAAGACCCCCAAGTATTACAACTAGTTCTGCTCCTGCATCGTAGAATCTCTTGTATTAGAAAATACTTTCAAGATCATCACGTCCCACTGTGAATCATCTTGCATATTCTTTGAAGTTAGAATCAAATTATTCCTTTCATCAAAACCCCACATTCCATAGATACTGCAAGCAAATATTTGAAATTCTCAACAGTCAACATTTGTAAATAGATTTTACATTAAAGTTTATCAAAAAAAGCCAAGTTTCCAGATAGTCATTGCCTTAATACACTAATAGGAACTTTATTTCTGTAAACACCAGACTCCTAATGCATCTGCATGAAGCCTCATATCTATTTGCTGCTCTAGTTAGCCCCCCTGCTACCCTCCTCAAGACCTTTTTCCAAGAGAGTTCAGAAAGTAATCTGCTTGTCAACTTGTTAGCATGAAGCGATGGTTTCTTGTTTTAGCTGGTATTTTTCAATGAGTATTTCTTTTCTTTTGATACATTTTTTAACCAGGTGTAATCAAAAGTAACATGTATTTTGACAGATTAAGTTCTCAGAACATACATATCAAGAAAGCTCACTGGCTAGGCACCAGCAACACAATCTGACCTTGGCTGAAACGTTGCCACTACTCCAACTGCCATATTTGCTAAGCACGTATGCTACTGCTGGCTTCTTTTATACAATTATACAATTCAAATGCTTTTTCTAGGTCTGTCTACAGCTTCTCATTCAAATCCCAGTGCATAAGAGAAAAACATGCTACTAAATTCAGAGTTATTTTATGCACATCACAGAAGCTGGGATTCTAAGATCATGCAATGTACTTTACAGAACAACAATATTATTCCACAATCAATTCTAGATGCCTGACAACACTTTCTGATAACTTTTGCAACCCCTTGTACCTCACACACAAATATTGTTATGAGAGGATAAAGCCTGACGCAGGGATGTCTAACACTTTCTCTCCCCCCCTCCT